GTCCGGCGGGGAACACTGGGCGCGGATGGTCGTGGTTGAGGTCCGGCAGGGAACACTGGGCGTGGATGGTCGTGGCTGAGGTCCGGCGGAGGACGAGGAGGAGAAGGAGAAGGAGGAGAAGGAGGAGGAGATGGGGCCGGGCTGACATAAAATCTCATAGAATCTAACAACCCTCACCTGACAGGTGGGGAAAAAATATCGATGTACTTATCGATGTGCTAGAAATGCAATTGTAGCGCGGTCCCATGTACTTTGACAATTGAGGCTACAAGCTACTGCATGGTTTTGTGCTGACACTGTGAGGCTAAGCCTCCCGTGTTGGGGCGCACTTTCGGCCTTAGCGAATAAATAGGCACCCGTGGGTTTAATGTATCTGCGTGGGTCATACATTCAAATTTATTCTAAGACAGGCTTGCTCCACATATCCCGTCACCCAAATCTTCTTAATTAATCGGTGGTACAGCTCCCTCCAGTTTGCACTTTGAATCTTAAATGCATCGGCTTGACGTGTTGCTGAGGAAAGGGGGTGCCCAGGTACCTGGACTGGAGCTGGCAAAACCAAGGCGGGTCTTTCTAGCGGTTCGCTTGCATACTTGGGTACAGTAACCGCTGCTAGAATGTCATTGCACTTGTGACCATTAAGGAGAGCTTGTCTCAGGCTTGATAGTGTGGGAGAACTTGTTCCCTTAGCTCTGAAGTTGGTAGACGTCGGTCAGCCCAAGTTCCCCTAGCCCCTCACCATTGAATTTGAGGGTAAAACATTTGCTTTGGCAACTTTGGCCCTGATATCTTTTGGAAAATGAAGACTGTGGATGACCATTGCTTCTGTTTGGCAGTTTGTTTTCGGTGTCGTTGGCATGCTGCAGGCATTTACTACCCACGTGACACAGCACTTGGGCCACCAGACATACATCACTCACGAGGACCCCCTCGGCAGACGGGAGGGAATCGAACCCGGATGCTGACGAGGAAGGTCGGGGAAGATTCGCCTTGGGTGAAGATCAGTGACAAAAAAATTGCAGGCTGACTTGCAGGCCGACGAGATCGACTGTGGTGCTGTTTGGACCTTACACCACTATGTAGTACCGAATTGGTGCTGACTAGATCGACTTGCAAGGAGGACTATATAAAGTTCCTGTCCTTGTAGCGGGACTAATCTTTGTTTGGCCACCACTTCAAAAGCTGCAAATCAAGCAAGGGCACAACCGTAATTAGATTAACTAAGGTTTTTTGCGGTCGTCTCAATATAATTGCAAACGCTGCACAGCAGCCCTCACACTCCTTGAGTGTGGAGACTCGATCGGGACATGGGAGACATGCTGCGATTCCCTGCAGGCTGACCCCTTTAGCGGTCAAACATGATGAAGCCACCTTAGGGTGGGTTAAGAGATATAAATGAACAATAATGAACATGGGGCTCGAAGATTACTGTTCACATTTTGATGCATTGGTAGTTTGTTGATTCAAGCCATTGTTTCCTTCTCAATCCTCATTTGGGGATTTGCTTTCTAGCGTCCTTCCAGCGTCCCACCACTTCAGCTTTTAGACTTTTGGTTGAAAGCTAGGATTACCATGGGGACGGCGACTATGTTCATCACTATGACACTGATGGACACAGCGCTTCGGGCTACACTCACTATGCCCCGGGTGTTATGCACGTCATCCATCACTACCACCATGTGGGCTATGGAGATGGGATCAGTGGTACTTCCTACCATGGTGTGGGAGGAGTTGCTCCTTGGCTCAGTCAGGCTATGCCAGATGCTTGTGTTTTGACTCTATACTCCATGTGTGTATATACTAATAGGTGTAGTGTATATATATATATATGCATACCATATATGTAGGTTACATGCATATTTCACTCACGGTCAGACCTGCTCCCCGGCACTTATGTGGTGGAAAGATGTCTTCCAGACCTTTTTGCACAGTCTGCGGTGTTTATACTACAGAACTTCCATGGCTCATACAGCGACCCTTTTTCGAGGTCCATCATGTGGCTGGAGAGGTGTGGCATCTTGGCTTGGTTGTGTGATCAGAACTCCAAAAATTACACTGGAGGCAATTGTCCGGAAAGGCGACCAGAAGCATTTCAGGCAATTGTGGGGTGTTCAACTGCTTGCTTAGTCCTTTTTTCTTAATGCACGGAAGGGTACTGTAGCAGTCAGGTTTCTACATCCTATTGTGCATGGGCGTCTCAGCTGTAGGCTGATGGTAGTCCCATCCACATAAAGCCATCACTCATCATCCATGAGTTTGGCATGTGCTCGGCTGTTACCGTTATTGTTTCTGGCACGAGTGCATGTGCGACACAGGTTGCGAAATGTTCCATCCATGATTTTTCCATGCCATTCGGAGACCCATTTGTCAAGTTACTATAATATAGCCAACATGTTCTGGCTGTGATCCAGGAAACAGTCAAGGGACTGGCCTCCCAAAAAACCTCCCAGGGCTAGGCATACCTGATTTGGCCGAGGCATGCAGATGGGACAAGGCGACCTTCCGATGGAGGGGCGTTTTCGCTTGCTCAGGGCTTCCGCTCCCTCCAAGAATCACCAAAGTGGAACATGTTGCGATTGTTGAGGAAGTAGCCTTCCACCAGGCACTTCCATGCACGCCATGATTATTGGAAGGAGGGTAGCTGAAGGGCATAGCCTAACTTGAAACACGGCATGACTTCTCAGGGAGCCCACTGAGCTCCCAGGTGGGCAAGTTCCAACGGATCAAGTCTCAGGACCTGCAGTGCCATGTAGGGCCACATCACCTGCCGCAGGCACCTTGATGACCAGAAGACAGAGACCGATGACAAGTGAGAGACGGTTTTATTCGGATGGTTTCATTTGGTGTTCTTCATGGTTCCTTGAAGCGTCACTTGGTTTGGGGAGCCGACGCTCTGGAAGATCCTTTTGCAGCACTGCTGAATCCTGCCAGTTTGTCCATTTCGATCCATTGGTATCCCCGAACGAGCAGACTTCCATGTTGACATTCCTTGGAGCCACATTTCCCAAACCGTTCCGGCTTGACACTTCCTTTGCCATCTTGCAGCGGCTGCACTGTTATTTGACAGCATATGCTCGCACTGTGTTAGATGATGGTTCGTGCAGACCAGGGCCAAATTGGAGTGGCGAACCCAGCACGGTCACATTTGGTGAAGTGAATCAGGGCAGTACCGCACACGTGATGCCTTGAATGGTTCAGGCAGGATTTAAAGGGCTACAATGGGCTACATAACTTTCCAAACTGCCTGAGCGAGATGCAATGGGTCATATCAGACATGCAGGGGGCAGTAGTTCACATGGGTCTTTTGATCCTTGATCCTTTGTATTCTTTGTCGTTATGACTTCGCTACTTCCTGGTTGCCTGAACCCTAGGCTTTTGGCCTTCTTCTCTTTGCACCATTTCACAACCTGTACATGTATATGCTAAGACAAAGACCTTCCAAGCTTTCTTAGTGAGCCAAACCTACAGTACCAACCACGGGTTTTACCGAACCAAGAGTACTGTTAGGCAGATGTGGATGTGCAATGGACCCATACCCATATCATACCCATATGAACTTTAACAACATGTTTTCTTTGGTGCTGTTTGATCCCGCAGCCTGCGCCCATATAGTTATGCTATAGCATGTTTGTAGAACTGATGTGTGACTTATGATTGTCTTACGCCTTTCCAAAGAATTATTGGTATTAATATGTATCTATGTAGAGGAGTAGGTTCCCAGAGATTGCACATGAACATTCACTTGGAAATGGTGGTGATATGCAATGATATACCCGTGGTATTTGGAGAGCACAGAACTAGGAAGGTTTCTCCGAAGCATGTATACTGTATACTGCATACACTTTGTACCTCAATGCTTCGATATGTTCGGCACCTTCGGCAGACGCTGGCAGACTACACTTCAAACGGTGGAAATATGTGATGAGCTCAACACCTTTGAGCAGACAATGTCACTGTCGCCATCTACAATCTCATTCTCACCTCTACGTCACAATGTAATTACAGTATAATATATTTTACAATAGTATAATATATATAGATAGTTATAATATGCATATTCATATAGTATTATGTGTACAATAGTATTATAGAATTAGTATACTATACTATAAGTAATACATGTGCAATATAGATACTACAGATTACTAATACATGTACAATATACTATACAATACTATATAATGTTTATTTTAATATACTATACATATGTACATATATTGTATATATTACAGTACAATAGTAAATAGTATACTATACTATATTTATATTATAGACTAAGGCTAGGTCGACCGCGCGCCAGTCCAGGCCCGTTGTGCCCCGTCCGCCCGGTTCGCCCGGTTTGTTCCTGAAAGGGAGGATCGGAGACGACCTGTGCTTCCGACACTGGAGCTGAACAAGCGAGTGGGTGAAAGAAAGTCGTCCAGTAGTTTGATGATACTGTATTTGGTGATACTTGTTGATAGTTCTGTTCTTTGTCATGGCGACAATATGTTCGAGACCCACTCTGGCGACGAATGTGATTTTTCCATGCAATCAAGCCTCCTTGTACTGAGTACATTTGACATCATTGACGCTTTTCTTCAGGGAACCAGCTGAAGACACTAAGACGAAGGCAGCTTGCCTGACCTTGCCAAGCAGGCCACGCCAAGCATTGACACCTTCGGAAAAAGAGCGGCCTGGTCTTGGAGGAGAAGTGGCATGCCTGTTAGACTGTGGCCATTTTTGGCCCCTTTACTTCAGCATCCCTTGTCCAATCCCAGATGATCCTAGGCTGGCTGCAACACGCAGGACGGGGCGGGTGAGATGGTCTTCAATGATTAGAATGTTTACAGTGTTACACGAATAGACTATACAGCAATCCCCAGAGCTTTTCCTAAGGTCATGTAGTTCCAAAGCGTACACCATTCCAAGCCACCCTTGCTTCCACAGCTCCTAGGTGAAGTGCGACGTGGATGCCAAAGGATTGAAGCTACATGGATGCAATGGATATCAGGTTGGGTTTTGGTTGCAAGGATTTGGGCCCAGCATCCTTTGGTGGCGTCCCCGAAAGGAAATGCTCTATATCTCTCTCTCACTGAAACTGACTTCATCGTGATGTGCTTCACTTACAGGCAAAGCAGGCCAAGAAGTTGCTTTAGAACAGAGCTTTTGAGGCTTGTGCCAGTTGTCGTTTTGGTGCGTACTCCCAGGAGTCCCACCCAGAACCTATATGGAAGTGAATTGTTAATCTCCTTTTTTTGAGTGGCCTTCAGGCTTGCCACAGCAGTTAAGGCTGTTAAGGCATAACCCAAACAAAGCAGGGTCATGCACAAGCCTATATAATAGCCGACCGGTCAAAATATATGCAAGCATCGCAATTGTTGCATCGTGCAGTGCCTGACGTAATGCTTTAATGCACCTTGAGCTGCTTGGGGCTCCTTGGGTCGGGCAGCAGGCATGTCCAGCGTAGCTCCAGAGGTTCCTGAAGAACATGCGCTCTGAGAGCCTGCTGGATGTCTTGGCCACCCAGGGCTTCAGCAAGGCACTGGTGGGACCTTGCGGATCCTGTGAAAGACTGCCGAGAGATCAAAAAGATGGTCAACCAAGAGAAAGTGATAACGCGTGATAACATGTGACAACCATCTCCAACTTCAACGACTTCTTTTTCTCAGCAACTGTAGTTCACGCCCATGACTGGCTACTTTGGCTGAAGAGGCGTTTCTTCGTCGGGTGTCCAGGAGACTCTTAAGGGCGTGATTTTAAGCCTCGTGACTGAGATCCCAGATGCCATTGGCATGCAGACACAGGGAGACTTTCACAATGGCTTCGCCATGCTTTGCCATCCTGTATGGTTATGCTTTGGTCCTGGGTTTATAATTACCATGATTTACGATGCACACAGCACACCGGCGGATGCTTTCGATTTCGATCTCCAAGTCTTCCAGGAACGCTCCATGGTTCTCATGTCGGAGAATGCCCTGCCGGGAATCGACGGGCGGTGGACCTCTTCCAAGCACGCAGGAGTGAAGACGATTCAAGGCGGGAGGACCGGCAGCCTGGACGCCTGGATGGACTCCCAGCTTGTGGTTGCTGGCAGTGGCCGGCAGCTTGTGTGTGTGTGTGTTTTTTTCGGGGTGCCCAGGATTGATGTTGCGGAAACCGTTTGATTGCTATAGATTGCTAGTTTTATGATGTTTTATGTAGCCAAGTGCTGTGTGGATTCCCTGGTCGAGAGAAATCAATCAGGAGGTATCACGAGTACTTTTCCTGGTCTATGCCTATGATGCCTATGCTCAATCTCAAGCAAACACACACCACCAAAAGAGTAAATGGTTTCGTACTGGCCAGCCTGGCAAATCAAGCAGACTATGAGCATGTTTTCCATGTTTGTTCTCGCTTGTGCCAATTTACTGCATCCAATCTCACGACCCTTCGTCGATTCATCCACTTCGAGGTTCCACTTCAACCCAGCTCAAAGCATCAAGCTTCAATGATTTGCGGGCAAAGACATAAGGCTAGGAACAAAGGGCATCGCTACTAGTTACTAGGAGCAAGGACGCTACTAGGGGCTCCTGGCCTTACTACTAGGAACCAGAACGCTACTAGGAACAAAGGTTGAAAGGAGGAGCCATGAGCTTCTCGGCAGGGTCGAGTGCTGGCTGGTGCGTCGGGGCCGTCCTGGCAGGGAAGACCTTGTATTGGGGCTTCGGCATGCAGTTTGGCATCAACTACCTGCCGATGGCAGCTTGGTGGCGTGGACCTTTTACCAGGTATGGCTCCCATGATGCCCACATACACTATAATTGAACTTACTGTAGGTGATGAGACACACACAAGCATCCTCTTGTCCAAACCAGGCAGAGTCCCACGTCTAATTCCTTGCTCTCATGTTGACAAGGCAGGCTGCTCGTATGCTTCAGGGATGAAACAAATGATATAAGGGTTCCAGAATTGTTTTTTGGTGTTGCTGCTCCAGTGGTGACGCTACATCCAAGCTGATGAGGTGGGTCAAAGGATGTCAAAGGTTCTCCTCCAAAGCTAGCCTTCACTGGGTTATCCACTCCACACTGAAGCTGAGGAGCGGTTGTCCTACGACCACATGGGCATGACCAGGACTTGCCTCGATTGAGCACTATTCCAAGCCACACACACAAAAGTCCTCAAATCTCCTGCAATGTTCAAGCTACAGCATCCTTAGAGCTTAGAACCTGAACAAAAACATACAAACAAATGGAGATACTGTTCCTGCTCTACAGCACCAGTTTTTTCTTCAAGGCTGCAGAAAGGTTTCACTTCGCTGGTGGGGTGTGCCGGACCTCTCGAACAGGAAAGGGATGCTGGCTGGAAACAAGATCGACTGGAATGATGATGACTGCTGGACTCGCCAGCAGAATGTCCCTTGGATTGGAGCAAAAGCCAGGCCAAAGGCCTGTATTTGGGCCTTTGGGTGCGCATGGGGGTGTATAAATACCGAAAGCTCCTCACAAAGAGCACTCAAGCCATATCCAGCCATACTCATAGAATCTGCTCTAGAAACCCGATTCCGTAGCCATTTGGCTCTAGCCTTCTTGTCAGAAAACGTGGCCCGCTTCGCGCAGAAACCCCACTGCGCAGGCCAGCCCACGTTGAACTCCATGTGGTGGCTCCTTGCCTTGAGCTTGAGCCTAGCAGAGACTAGGGATGTTCCACACGCCGTGCCCTCAGACGGGTGCACGGAGGGCAGCTCCTTCCTGCAGACCCAGGCTGCAGAAGTGCGGCGGGGCGGACGTGTCCCGGAGTATTTGGAGCTCAAGGCTATGGGCCAGAAGGTTTGGAAAGATATACCGCTGCTTGAACTCATGCGCCTTATGAGCACGGACATGAATGGCAGGTTCTGCAACATGTGCGGGCACCCGGATCCGCAAAAGCCCGTGGGCAACTATGCGCAACGCAAGGACTGCGGCAACCACAGTGTTTTGGAACATCCTGAGAGCCTTTTGCAACCTATAGCAGACTTCAACAAAGGCAACACCAACGGCTGGTGCGAGTTGAATATGCAGAAGGTTTGCGCGGATGCTTTGTACAACAAGAATTTCTTGATCCAAGCCAAGCAAATTAACACCACAGGCTCACCTGTTTTGCTGTACGACGCCAACTATTGCTATCACAATGGGTGGCTTGAAGCTGACTATCGCTCCCTGCAGCTCGACTATGAGGGGATGAAGGCCAAGGCCGACAAGTTCTGTGAGGCACGCCGTGAAAAAATCAAGAGCATAACCATGGCCGAAATGGCTGTGGTCTACCTCACTTCTTTCGCGCGGGGAAAGCCGAGCAAAGAAGAGGCACAATTCGTGGCCGACTGGACTTGTGCCATGGGCTCTTCTGGATGCGACATGACTTACTGCGCTTACAGCTTTTGCAAGAAGCCTGATGGGACCTTTGGCACCCTTCAAGAGTGTCCAGGATGGGATTCTGACAAGGGCATGCCAGTGTGAACTGCCACCACGGCATGCCCACATCACACGTGCTGTGGATTTGGGGGTGCCCAACTGAGCCCTGGTGATGGCTTCAGCCACTGGCTCTATACCATTTGCGATTGAATACTTTTGAGACGTGGCTTTGGCCATGCTTGAGATGCGATGCTGAAAAGGAAATAATGTTGGCGACGGGCGACGGAGCTTTGTTCAAACGGGAGTTCCAATGAAAACCATGAGACGTTGACGGCTTTCGGTGAAAAGCTGTCATGACCAAGAACCCCACAAAGTTGGATACAGGTCCTCTACGGTAAACCATTTGGTGAGTTGTCGCTGTGCCACCGAGCAACCCGCAATCCGAGCAGATTGGAATGCCTAAGAAAATCAAAGAAATGCCATTGGGGATGCACTCCGAAGCTGAACGACTTGATCCAGCGCCAGTTTCCCGATGAAACACTTCGTCCAAGGTATTTATGAAGGTTTTCATCGTTTGACACGAGCTTGTTGCGATTCACTCACGCAAAGTGGGGGTTGGGCCGAGCTGCTACATACGAAAGCAACACATATCACACAGATGTTTGCTTGTAGATCGGCTCATGGGGCAACATGTGCAGATATCGGTGTGCCAACATGTTCCAAGTTCAGACTAAGGGTGAGTATCTGCGTGAACCACATGTCACACATCGCAATCGGCAGCTGAAACTACTTGTTTCCAGGCTCATTCAGGTTCCTGGCATGTGCCGAACTAGTAGTTCATGCACTATGGACATCCATGGACCATGGACCTTAGAAGGGGTAACTGTTGGAGTGGAGTGCTTGGCTTTGAAAGCGGGGTGCCAAGGAGACATATAGAACACAGCGTGCATAATAGTTTTAATAGTTATGTCAGAGGTCTCCTGGTTTTGGATGTTGAGACGATCTGACATTGGCACGACATGACTACGGCTATGATGAAACCAGTGGATTGGATCTCCTGCGTGTCGGAAAAATTCGAGAGCGCACCATCTTGCACCATCTAGTTGAATGAGCACCTGAGGATCCTTACAGCACCACTGAGACATTGCGCTTGGGAGCGCGATTGGCTGCCAACTCGATCGGAGTCTTGGTGGACAAAAGCTGCCACATTTGTGCACGATTCAAGACCACCTCGTCATCCAAAAATTACACGACCTCACTTCGCCAAAGGATTCCTCAGAGTGGTGAGGCCAAGACCTAAGCGTGTTGATATCCCAACTCACCATGCTTGAAGGGAGCTTTTGGGGCCGGGGACTTCCACTTGCTTTCAGTTGCCCCTAATGTGCAGACCAGCGCTACATTTGACTGGGATGAAGTTCCGCTCGGTTTGCGTGCTGGAACGAGCAGATGTATATATACATACAATGTACAACTTTGGCTTATCCATGTTGTTTTTTGGTGCATTAAGGGCAGGTGGATGTGGACAATATGAGTCATGATGTGCCCTTTTTCTGGCCTTCAGTATGTATCGCCGAGGCTTTTGTTGCCACAAGGGCTTCAAACCGGAGATCCCCAACCAGGAGCTGCTGAGTGCTGAGCTGTTTGTCGGGAGCAACTCGCACAACACAACACAAGAGAAAAGGTTGATGCAGAGCCCTTTGTACAAGATGTACAAGTGCATATGAGTGCTACGCCTTGAGCAAATGCGTTGACAAGCATGGCGCAGTCTATAGTCTTTCTCTCCCTCTCTTTTTCTCTCTCGGTGTATGCATATATATAGATTAATATGACTGAAGGTATGTTTGTCCCAGATTCCAGATGAGGCTCGCTCACGTCACACCCACCACTGGCTTGGTCTACAAGCAGTTTCCTTTGAGATACCCCAAATTCTCAGATCCCAAAAAGGTACTGTTCAGATCTTTCCAAGGTCAAAGTTGATCGAGTCCGTCTCGAAATGATTTTGTGACTCACGGCAATGGTCAGGGTCTCCACAATGTACCAACCAGGAGATCATTTCGCGTGAGCGATGTAAAAACAATTAAAAACACAATGTAGGACAACTGGTCCATTGTGCATGTCAATGGCGACTTCTCCGTCTACACCATTTGTGATGGGCACGGCTTGAGTGGCCACCTGGCATCGTCGTCCTGGGGTTTCTTGTCGGTGTTCACCCCAAGCCGAGATGAGGCGTTGCCTTCAACAAAGCTGACGCCTTTCCGCTTTGTTGGTTCATTTGGTCGCTCATTTGGTCATATATGGTCCATGCGGAGCTGATGTGGATGATGGCTCATGGGTCAAAAGCAAACTTTGAGGGTATAGTCGCCTGTTCGCAGGTTGGGACTTAAGCTGCTGCCGTTGGTTTGGTGATACATGTTGGTCACCCGAACACAGCCTGGCAGAAATGCAGCAACCAAATGTGAAATGCATACCCAATCTACAAATGGATATATATATATATAATACGACAAAACCTTCCTTTGCTTGTGGCATGAACATTCTTTTGCAAGCTACTGAGTTTGGATTTGCACCCACCTAGCAAGATGTTCCAAAAGTGATTGTAAACTGTACATCCTTACAAATTTGGTGTAGTCGTGTGCATGACATTGTGGTACAAAACCCGCCGCACTATACCGGTGCCAGTTCAAAGACAGGGCCCTTTGAGGTTGGTAAATGGAGCTACCATAAGCTACCACTCAATCCTTACATACGTTTTATAATCATTCGTTTGGTGGTTCCGGTGTTGCGGAACGCTTCAAAATCCACATGGCATGCCGCACATCTCTCACCCAAAGTTGAATCTCCAGTCATCTCGACATGAATTCTTCTCGTGAATCCGCACCACGTTCCTGATTTGGAGAGATACATAACTCATTCTAACTCCCTGTGTCAGTTTTGTGCTCGAGAGCTTCGGGCAATCGACGACGTGTGGAACCCACCCTCATCGACTCATCGATCTTTACCAGGCACATCAACATTGGGGGGGCCGCAGGCCTGCCAGGTCTCTAGACGAGATCTGGTGTCAGATGGTTTCAGAATGTTTCAGACGTAATTGTACCATCTACCCTGAAAACGCTGCGCAAACTCTGCACCGTGTTGGGAGATGGTTGCATTTCCGATGCTTCGTACTTCGTGCTGCACCCAGGTCATCACGTAGCAGATGTGACGAAGGACTCCCTGCCGCGCCTACTTTTGCAAGATCCTCGCTTTCGGAGGCGCTGTGGGCAACAGGGAGCTTCCAAGCAGCCTTTTTGTGGTCAATTTTAACATCAGATAGAACTCCCTGCCATGGAAAAGCCTGAAAAGACATTTGGATCAGTATTTGATAGTATTTGCATCATATTGATATCGATGATTCACAGCAACCAAGAGATGCAAGAGATGTGCGCCTGCTAGGCAACGCCGAGATGCTTTGGTGGATGCCTTTGAGAATACGCAGGACGGAGCCAGCTGCCCTGGTTTGTCGGCACGTGAAGTCTCCTGAAGGGTTATCAGGTCAACTAGCTATCAACACGCCGATAGGACATGTCCTACATACATGCCGATAGAACACCTATGTTCCTGCAGAAAATCACTACCAGCATCTACCAGCGATCTTTGGGGAGAAGGCATCCAAACAAACAAACGCAAAACATCCAAACAAAACAACGCATGTGTTTTGTGGACGCTGGACCCGTTTGGATTTGTATGCTTGAGCATATTATGATGATATGAGTGTTGCTGTGGGCTGTGAACCAAGAAGCAGTGAAGCCAAGTTGGTACAGCCACTGTCCGGGCCTATCGGGGTACTGTATGAGTCTGTATGAGCTGAAGGATGCGTTATTTCATGGTATTTCGGCAGCATTTCAGTATGTGTTTGCATTCGAGGTCTTCCATTCCAAGTCTTTGGAATGTGAACCCTAAAAAGGGCAGAGAAGCTTCTGCATGCTTCTGTGGACTCAGTGGACTCGTGCGATGCTTTTGCATGCATGTTTAATCAATTTGAATCAGATGTCCACTGAACGCCTTGGTGTATCTTGGTGTTACGTGTGTAACAACTACAAATAACATCAAACAACTAACTTTTTCAAGAGTCTAGGCATGCAGATGCCGCATCCGTTTGCGTATCAGGGAGAAAAAAGTCTTGCAGCCTGCAGCACCGTACAGATGTTGAGACCCGTGACCTCTTATGGTTTAAGGGACGCTGGCAAAGCCTGGCAAAGCCCCAACGGCCTTCGGAACTCACGGCAGGACCTGCTGCGCACGGCGGATCGGCAAGGCCTGGTGAAGGCGGCCGTGGGAGGCACCACAGCTACAGTGGTGGTTCATGACCACGCAGAGCAGAAGCTGCAGGTGGGACTGCTGATTCTTCATCAGAGGACCACCAGTTGGTCATTGTTCGTTCCTGGTTTCTTATGTTTCTTCACACCTTTTGGAAGCATCACTGTTTCTTCGCCAGCACTAAACGCCCCATCGTCGAACATGGCACCACGTGACGTTTTCAGGCGACGCGTGTTTCACCGCCAGGTCGCTCATGTCGGTGACAGTGCAGCGGTACTGGGGCGGATGGGCCAGGCGGAGCAATTCCTCGCCGTGCCACTCACCCGTGCCCGGGGCCACGGTGCACGACCGAGCGCGACCCGTCCGCGGAAACGGGTTGTGGAGTTGGACCGAGCTGCCACTATAGCTGCCTTAAAATTTTAGGATTCCGACGGAAAGTGAACAAGAAAGTTGCAGGATAATTTTGGGGGGTTAAGTTCCAACTTGTGCAGAGATCTCAATGGTAGTGGAAACAGACCAGTGGTTTGAACATGGGCTAATGCAGGATGGAGTTTGGAACCCCAAGTGTTTAAAAACACGTCAGGTGTTCATTTGACTGGGAGGAGCCCCTCCTCATAGAACAGCCCGGAGAAGCGTCACCGCACCGCGCACAGCATTCTAGCATGTGGCACATTCAAGCCCCTTTGCTGCCATGTTGACTCAATCCTTTTGTACACCATAGGCCGCGGCGGCCTCAACATTTGGATTCTTATTGATTAGGCAAATGTTTCAGAAAGGAGGATGAATCTCAGCTCCTCATCCTCATGCTCCTCTCATTCTTCCACCCAGACCGGTATTGAGTGTTTGCTTGCAGGACCACCACTTGGAGGCCGAGGACGAGCGCCACCGGGTGGAGGCCCGGCAAAAAACGGTGCAGTGGTCGCCTGGGCCAGCGATGGCGTCGTTGTATAGAGATGCATTGTCCAACATCCCACAACACTCACTACCTGGAAGATAAAAGGCACATATGTGATAATATATGATAATACTATACATGCAAATACAATAATTCTAGATGAACAATAGATAAGCAATTGGCACAAGATCATACAAGCACTGCGTTATACTGTATTGTTGACTTTTAATGTCTTAGAGTCCTTGTGGAGAATTGCCACTCCCTACGACCTCTCACCCACCACTCCAAAGACGCGGCTACAAGCGCCGCGCCAGGCGGTGGGTGCTCGTGTGGAATGGGAAGCCGGCGCTTACCGGGCCTTCAACAAGCATGGGACGGGCGCAGGCACGATGTCGCGCCGGAGATGTGGTGTGGAATGTTGTGGAGCGTCATGGTGCTTCCTGAAACACATTTCGCATGTGGAGCGTTGTGCGAAAGTCCGACTCGTTTCTTTTGATGCGAGATTTGGGGATTTGGGGGGCCATATATGTTATGACATGTAGGTTCTGATAATCATAGCATGCACTACCCCCTTTTGCAGACCAAGATGGGCCGAATGGACCCCCAAACATCCCAAAACGCTTTTGCGGTATATATATACTACTCACCAGTGACTTTGGACTTGTCGGACGTATGCCAAAAAAATCAATGTCCCATCTCATGAAGAAAAGTACTTTTTGACAAGTGTTTGGTCCACAACTCCTATCTCATAAAGCCTAGCAAGGCAAAACATGTTAAACAAAAATGGTGTGCCCAGGGCATGTGTGGCCGGATGCCAACACATGAGATAGGACTTGTGCTGCTACCAGTCCATGTCCCAGCATGTCCTTTGATGTCCTTGGATGTCTGTGCATGGCTACATTATGGTTGTTTAGGCGCGTGGGCGGCACGACGTGAGATAAAAGGTGACTTTTTCACAACTGGTGTTTCTCTGTGACAGATTTCACACGATTGTGCACTTTCTTTTTGGGGGGTTAGCCGTCTCAAAACCTGGTGTCTTTGGAGATGTGCATGCAGCATGAGTTGGGACTTGTTGGCATTCTGCGGTATGTTACTCCTGTCTCATCATGGAACATCTGGCTGTTCTGAAATGGCGGGGTTCCATTTGGCCTCATGAGTTAGGCCTTGTGCTGCACAATTCCTAACTCTTTGGAGACTCAAAGTCCTAACTCACCAGTAGGCAGTATATATATTGTCATTGAAGTCAAATTGAGATGGATCTTGGTCCTGTCAGAGGTGTATCCCTGGAGCTTCAAAACGGCATAAACAATTGCTTTTTCAAGAAACATGCTGTTACGGCGGCCTTCCCCAAAGACGGCGTTTTTGTTTTGTATTGTTGCGACCCGGTGGAAACCGGCAGAAACCAAAAAGAAGCGGTGTTTCTAGGCCTGCAAACGGCATCTTTACTGTAGGCGTCCAAACGGCGCCTTTATATATAGGCATCCAAACGGCGTCTTTCCCAGTCCATGGATTTTGAGTGCGTGTTTGCAACCCCGAAAACGGCCGCATATTTTCAAGACAATTATGGCATTTGTTCACTGAAAAAAATGCATCCAGCAAAAGTGTGTGTTTGTGTGCCGTTTGAAGATATGGGGTTCTTGACCGATGGCTTTCTCAATCGAACATGATGCAACTGCATGCAACGGTTCCGAAACTGCATGTGTTCATTCTAAAATGGCGTACAACTTCATGCAATTTCTCCAACCAGCGACCCTCTACCCATGGGAAAGTGTACTAGCGACAAGCCTGCAGGAAAGTCGTTCGGCGGGTCCCACGTCAAAGGCCCCGAAACAGAAACGGCCCGATGTTCGGGCAGCAAACACACCGCGTTCATCGGAGAGGCCTCAATGTGACTCGAAGCCTGGGAGATTTGGATGCCCACGTGGAGTGTGGCATTTCCAGCGAGCCCGAAGTGATCCTCAGACTGAAGAAGGGGTCCAAGAAGACAAACCGAGTCCGTTGAAACCTCCGGACTTTAGCGAGACTTGGAAGTTGGCATTGGATGCAACTTGAAATTGGGTTCGGGGTCATCCAAGACGGAAGATGTTTTTCATCAAGCTGGCAGGCAAACACAAAGTGAGCACTATTGAGCACCTTTTGACCTTGTGCCATCCTTGTGCCAGGGTATAGTTATAGTAACTTGGTTGCGTTACGTTGCAGAAGTTTACCACATGTCACACATATGATGCCTCAAGATACTCCGGTGGATACGCAGACATAAATGATGATTAAATGATCATTTTTGCCACAGCTTGGACGATCCGACTATCAATCAATGCTGCATGTCACGTCCTTCAAGCCCTTCAAGCCTTCATTTGCATTTGGAGAAGCCATCGTGCAGCGTGTGTACGTGTTGCTCACCTGGCATTTGAGGAAGGAAGTGCTCCTGGCTCCAGAAGATAAGGCCCGCTGCACTTAGGAAGACGGACCATGCTGCTTTTGGCAAGCCAGAAGCAGATGCAATGTAAAGTTGAATGGCCTTTTTTTGAGACCTCTCGAACCGTTCAAGCACGACACTATCAAGACGCCAGTTTCTGGTCCATGTGAAAGCTCAGCAGAAATCATAAGAAATCCGGCGATTTCTCGAAGGTCTGTCCGGTCGAAACTTCATGCCAAAGTCCCGAAGGCTTCAATGTTGACCCCCCACCTCAAACTTCGTGCCAAAGCCGGGGAACAAGAGCAAGCCGACATATTGCAAGTGGAGTGCTGATAGTGCAGCGTGTGGCAGATGCATGTGTTTTCTCTTCTTGTATTTTTTTTGTGTGTGTGTGTGTTTGAATTCCCCATGGTTCCCTCCAACGAGGTAGAACACGACATGCCACGAACACCCCAGCGAGCGCTGGCAGGTGCTAGTGGTGGCCAGCGACGGCGTGTGGACTTGGATGAAGCCTCAGGCAGTTCTTCCACGGGTGGGATGTGGGATGCTGCATAGGTTGTCTTTGAGTCTCGAACCTGCAAAAGGATGTATCATCTCTGCACATAAGATCATTGTTTTGCAATGTTTTTCATATTTGCATGCTTTACAATGTGTGTGTTCTGTTTTCTGAACTTATAATATTTAACTGATATTAACTGCAAGACAGTACAAGTTTAGCATCGACTCTTGGTCCAAAAATGACAATCGGGGCATCGACTCTTGGAGGTGACTAGGCCGACGAACCGACTAACAGCCAGGGCCATGACTAGGGCCATGACTGGCTCAAATCCCTCAAGTGCCGGTGAACCAACTCGAGGGGCGAAAACGAAGCATAAACGGTTTGATGGTTTGTAAGGAACATCCTGCAACTGACACAAGCTCCTGGCAAAGCAGACGAATAGATTGATCATCAATATCATATCTCAAGATCACTAAATCCCCAACTGCAAGTAGCTATAGAATGCTATGGCTATAGGATGCTATAGGTGTTTGGACCCTTTCGGACCTTGTCCTGGGGGCAACCGAGGCACCGCGATTTGTCTCACTCCGCTCCAGGAGGTCCTGGACATCGTCGCGGCCTGCGGAGCAGCGCAACCCACCGTGGCCGCCGAGCGCGTCGCCAAGGACGGACGGTTCCGAGTGACACAGCGCATCGTCCCACGTGTCGAAGTCCAGATGGTATTGTGTTTGGTGGGGAAGAGGAACTGGTGAACCCGAACTGCGTGGTGTAGTTCGACCCTGGAACTGGATGAATTTGGATGATGATTTTCCGTTACCACGCGGAGGATGGTGGGGGTTTATGTTAGTTTGTGATGTTTTATGATGTTTTGTAGGAGGAGCTAGCTCTCTCTCTCTCTCTCTCTCCCTCCCCCTCTCCCTCCCCCTCTCTCTAATCCGTAGACAAAGACCTTTAGGACAGGAATGTTCTCAAGACTTGAAAGCTTCTTCCATCAGTTGAACCCTCAATGCCACCAGGCACTCAGACAGTCCGATGTGGCCGGTGTGTCCTCTTTCAATCACTGGCTGTTTCGATGTACTCATATGTTCTAGATTCCAGTTTCAATTGCTGTTCCGAATGTTCACCTGCTTGGATTTGCTCGGATTGTTCCAGGAGGCTTATGAACGCTGGATGCAACAGACGGGACGTCAGGCAGCCGACGACATCGTCGTCTTGATCATTGATTTGGCTGCGAGAGACAGAAAGGACTTTGCATGATGCAGTGCAGAAGCACCTAACACAGAGAGGCGATGATTCGTCACTGATGAGGTGCCAATGGCCTGAAGGTCAAGAGGTTGAAACTGGAGAAGCGCAATCATTGCATATGCATTAATTATTATGTACTGTTATTATATGATATATGCATAGTTTGTACGTTTTAAGGTCAGTATACCTATTCTGCATGGAAGACACTATCACTTGACGACGGTAAGGGAAAGAGATATATATATATATATATATAATCCGGTCCGGTCCACCTATTAAAAAACACGCGGCCCCCCCCTAATAAGGAAACCTCGGTCGCCCTTTTTTTAAATAGGGGGTCCCTGAAATCGGGGTGGTCCAAAATAGGGTCACCTGGGAAGGGCTTCAAAATCAAAGTCACCCAGGAAAATGTACTCGTATCAAACATTCAAAACTCCAGATCGAAGGTTCTTCCTTTTCCCCTACAAAAGCCTTTATGAGAATAGTGATTCTTCATTAGACTAACAACTATATAAAGCTTTGGACAGGTGGAAAGTGCGTTGGCGTGAGTCCGTGCCATTGGGGGAAGGAAAGCCTGCTGGTGTAAACGCGGCGTGTCATGGTGGATAGACAGGGTGGACAGAGGTGGGCAGTTACGGTGGTTTTTAAAACCTATTAAAAAGAACTTCTCCAAAATCGGCCATGTTGGTAGTTTAGCAGCGGTTTTGAAAGGGCGGCAATTTAACACCGATTTTAAACCATATTTAGGGGTTTCCGACATGACTTTGTTTTAATGGGGGACCTTTTTTTAATAGGTACTCGGGATTAGACAGATCAAAACTAGAACCATTCAAAACACATTATCAAAGCGTACTTTTTGGATGCAGCTGCCAGAAGCATTCTCAGCCACGTGACTGCAGGAGAGCACGACGTCACATGAAGACGGCTTTGACGGCTGTGGCTTCTTTGGTGCTGATGATGAGACGGAGGAGAGCACTGAGGGGTGAGGAGACAACGAGTCATGTGGTGAAATTCCAACACACTCCCCAAAAAGAAACAATTATGGCAGCAACCACGGGCAGAGATGAACCCGAAGGTGTTTCATTGTAGGTGGTTTTAACATGTTTTAACTTTAAACTTTGGGGTGGCTGGACATGGATTTCTCACGTGTTGCCCCGCAGAAAAGGAGCCCAAGATACATGGACCCCTGCATTATCCTGCATTGTTGGCATCACTGTTGCTACTGTAACCAGTTCTGGTGGTCGTGCAAAACAATAGCATCAGGATGCCCAGTTTGCCCCCGCCAAACAACTATGGACTATGGATGATTAGGGTTCTTGTGTTTAGGGTTTGCACTGCTATTCAAGCGGAATGCCTGATAATTTGATCGTTGTTGAATCGTAAACCGATTCCGATTGAAAACGATTTTTTTTAAAAAATCATGTTCTCCGTCATGCGATCTCCAAAACCGATGTCGAAGTCTGAAATGCTCAAATTCCCATGCGCACTGTCATAACTTATTATAGCACAGTTTAAGGATTCAACGTCTCCGGGGGGGAGATTGTAATTATGGTTCCTGGGCGCAACGAAACAGTAGCCGTTTGGGTGGACATACATCATGACCGAAGCTCCCGTGGTCCTGTTCCTTGGGGGAGTGTGTTTGTGACTGATCCCAGAGGGATGGATCATGAAGAGCCGTGTGGAGTTGAGCCAGAACGGGGCCTCAGAAATTGCACCAATTCTGGCTTCGCAACACGCTGTGCTCAGTGCCCCGAAACCTTGTGACACTGTTAAATCAAGAGGGGCATGGAGTATTGTCTCCTAAAGATTATTCTGTACCAGCTAATCGTGGTCTCAAGCTGCAATTGTGCAAGATGGCATGTCCACGACCTGTGTGGATGCTTTTGACGGATTCACATTGATTTGCCATGATTACTTCATGCTTGAGAAAACTATGGACTATGGGTGAACCTATGCTTCGGAGGCTCCAGGGGCAAGATTCCAAGCAACATGTGCAGGTTACTCTCATGTCAAAGCATCCACGACGGTTGTAAAGAGGGCATTTGTGCCCTGGCACGCAGTTTTTTTTAAAGGCCAGCCGCACCTTGCCGTTACTTTGATTGACTTGGATCACTTTTTGGATTGTTGTATATATATAGTTATATAATCGTTGTGGGTTGGCTTGCAGCGATAGAGCTGCGTCGGCAGCTTGTGACTAACTGTTTATTCATGTTGATAATCTTGTGGGAAAGGTATTTGAAAGGACTGAGGCACTTGTAACCTACTAACACCCACACATCCCACAATCCGGCGATACTCATCATTGAGTCTTTGCCCACGTTCCCCCGCGGCCATCACGCATTCGGAAGTTGGCTTTGAAGAATGCTTCAGAGTTTCAGCAAGGCTGCAATGAGCATTAGCTGGTATCAGTGACCACTATTATTTCTGGTCACTATTTCTGTACAGCGGCAGAAGTTCCTGACAGAAATCCTTTTGATCTCCTGACCATGTGGCTGGGTGGGCCAATCCTGCATGTGCATCCACTGATGAATGTCACATTTTGCTTGTGCTGTTATGATGACCTTTATGGATCGCAGGTGTCCATCTGCAGGGGTCTAAGCGTGGAAAATGTCCGACGTGGCACTGCAGCAGCTTTTCTACCGAAAACATCCGAAAACACTTTCTACAAAGCTTCTAAACGAACCCCATCATTTGATGTGTTCGGCCAGGCCCATCTTCTGCCAGTTGAAGACTCTTGTTTGGCGTCCATGTTGAGCTTGGCCCAAAACATTGACAAGGGAAAGAGGAAACCCATTTCGTCCCAATTCATATTATGCCTCGCTGGCTGGTGCTGCTGGTGGCCGCCGCATGCGCAGCCGGATCCACCTGCCCCGAGTGCGAGATTGAAGCTATGCAGGCGCGGCCTGGCAGAACGAGTGGAGTGATTACCAGGCATTTGCATTGCTCTAGGTGGGATGTGAAAGCCTTCCCGGTCCAGTGTATTGCTATTGATTTGGCCTTGGCCATGTTGAGTTGGTTAAGGAAAGGTCATGAAGAACCATGAGAAAATCCAACTGAGGGATTCCTTTGTTGTTATGGATCCTGAATGCCCTTGCCATTTGCCTGTGTTTGCGGCATCCTTTCTTGGTGGCTCAGCATTTAGCGGCTGATTGGTTTTTGTTCAAGAAAGATTTGCAACAGTTTGCATGCGCTCACTAGTCCGCGTGTATTCGCCAACTGTCACTGTCACACTTGCAAAGCTGTTCTGAAGGGACTGAACACATATATACTTGTTGATAATTGCTTGAGGTTCGACATGTGAACGTGAGCTCAATTTTTTTCAAGTGATGGTATGGTACGATACAAGATGCAACAATTGCGGAATCGTACCATATCCTTTGGTTATTGGATGCTTATGCTAAGCTTTCTTTTGGTGTTGCCATGGCTTTCCGGGTTGGTGCAGCTTTTTCCAAACCCGTCGATTCATGAAATTCAGAGAGCTTTGTTCGGATCCATCATGCAGGGGGATTGTTAGACAAGAGTTGGTTGGAATCTCAATTATGCTTGATTTCTACTGTATATAGATCGTTAGCCTACTCTCAAGTTTGGCTGCCAAGCGCAGCCTCTTTCATGCAGGTGCAGCTGGTACAGACGAAGTTGCAGCTGAAACAACGCGGACTCGTGGGTTAGTGGGGTTTCTGATGTTTCTGTGATGATGGGTGGTTGATGAGCAATCTTGCGCAATCTTTCCATTCATGTTGCGCCATTTGTGCCACAAGGTTGCACGCCCGGAATTCTCATCCAAAGGGCACTCATATATTGTATATATTATATAGTTAGAGAGTACATCCATATCCATCAGTCCTGTGCAAACACACATGCACCTTCACCTAAATAGTTTTGTTGATGTGCACTCCTGCGGGCAATAATGTCTTGAGTTTGCGAATCCCTGATCGAACCATCCTTGCGTTTTTTGTTCGCATGTTCTTTTGATGTTTTGTTCTACTTTTGTTATGATCCCTTTCTTTCGCCTTCACTGCTACATCTTTTCGCCTGAAGCAACAGCTTTCCCCCCGGATGCCGTCCGGAGACCTCATCGCAAGGAGCTGCCGAGATCACCCAGGCGGCGGACTTCATCGCGGCAGTGGAGCAGTTGGAAGGGCGAATCCAGGCCTTGGACGCAAAGCTGCAGCAGCTCCAGGAGAAGGCGACTTGGCGACTCAGAGTGGGGGGCTGTTGAACCTGGCAGAGGGTGGAGGGCTTGTTGAACATGCACAGGGAAATCCACAGAACATCTGGAACGCGTGTGGCCAGTGGAGACATTTTAAGACATGGCGTATGCGGGTCAGAGGGTTTTGCTCCAAATAGAGATTGCTGAATAGAGCTGCCTGACGGCGAGGGCCATTTGCTTCTGTGGTGAAAGGCCTTCAAAGGCGGTTGGACAATGAAGTCTTCATTTTTGGAGTGGGTGAATAATGGTGAAGACATGGGAAGACTTCTCGGGCATCAGGGGTGGATGAACATCCATTCACATGCTATTTGGAGAAGACTCATCTGCGGCGCATGGCAGGAGCTGGAAGATCAGTGAGGCCTCGGGAGCGCGACGATGGTGTTTGGGGTGTCCAGCAAGGGGGTGTCCAACGAGCCGGATAGGGATAGGCTGCATAGGGTTGGGGGGGCCGGAGTGTGTGCGCCGTGTGCGCGCGTGTGTGACAGCTGTGGTACCAAGACTTGATCAATTGCATCGGATTGGAATTTACACTGGGACCACAGGGGAGGGTCATGCTCTTGCGTGGTTTTGGTGGAACTAGAATGAGAGCCAACAAGTAAGATCAACTAAGCACGTCTTCCAATCATATCACGTGGGTCGAACAGAGGCTGCACACTGTTCATCTCAGGGCCCCCCTGGCGGAACACAAGCAGCCGCCATCACAGTGTGAGAGAATATGCTGAGACTCACTAAGATGGAAGTGAAACCTCGCTGCTTGAGACATGGAACATCGTTGTCAAGGGACGATGCGGAACCACTTCCATGGAGCGTGAGTCGAAATGAGATCAAATGAGGCCATTCAGCAGCCGTGGCAGCTCGGATTGCGAAGGACCAGAGTTTCACTGGCGCAAGTGAGCGCGAAGGAGGCGCGGCAGAACGCTGAGTGCCAAAATGAGAGAGATGTCCTTTCGTCTCGCTGACTGGAGTTCAAAATGATTTGTGCCATGTTATACTGTTATACTAAATGCTCACTGTTCGTACTGTTGGTTTTGGGGGTACATAAAGGTGTGCACAGTAAGTTCAGTCAAGATGGTCACTGTGGCTGCCTCGGCTCAATGCTCTTGCTTACTCGGCAACATTCAGATCCAGAGGGTCTTATTTTTTATTGCATTGCGCAAATGATTTCCAGATTTCACATACCTATTTGGAATTATGTATGTAATCAAGCCAAATGCTCGTTGTAATCAGTTCCCTTCCACGTGTGACCAAGCCAGTGACAGTCACCCAAAAGAACAGTCCGATTCAATGCATTTACAAGAGGCACGTCCAAGCACTTTGATCCACAGGCGCATCCCAATTGACCAGGGCCTAGACTACGATGTCTACGGCCTAGACACACTTTGTCCTTTGAAGACTTGCCCTCATCATTTCAACCAGAGTAAAGGACTGAATGTTTCTTGACCTCAGATTTGGCGGTCAGAGGAATCATGAAAGTCTGATGGTGCATGATTCTGATATATTCTGAGTCATTCCAATATGATCACAGGAACGCACGCACCTTTGCGATCCTTTGCGTTTTCTTAGCGGAGCGCAGAAGCGCCCGATGGGCGCTTCTCACACAGAGCTCAGTGGTGCTTCTTGGATCTTCGAGGCCGATGACGCCGATGGAGATCGATGAAGATCGACGCCGGTGTCGTGTTCGCGTTCGATCCTAAAGGAAGGTTGCAATTGGCATATTAATTCATAGAGGTCCCACAAGAGACAAGAGTAGAAGCGATTCTCGCGATATATATATAT